AACATGATTGTCAACATGAGCAATGTTCGTGCGTTTGTGCCCGGCGTGTGATATATCAAAAGCTAAGAAGCAAGGGACGCCGAATCACATGAAATAAGTGTGGTATTTTTTTCACAAGTAAGCTATATAATAAATTTTAATAGTGGCAACATTAGCAAATTTATTCTGGGTTTGATTCTTCATAAATCACAAGACATTTGTCCGATTGCTGGTATATTAACTTTGGGCTTTCTTATAGGTGTATTAGTCACATGCATCCAATTTCACGCCCGAATATTTCGAAGTTCAAGAATTTTGACCAATTCATAATGTCCTTGTTAACAATATTTATAATTTTGACAGGCCGAAAAAAMCATCTTGGCCAAGATCATTTATAAAAAAGCATCAATGCGATTATAATCATTTCTAGTTAAAACGTATTGGTATTTTGACTAGATTTACTAACATTTCAAGATCAAAAAATGTCCAACAGCTGGAATTTCTGTCCGCCAAAAGCAAAAATAACATCTTCGCCTCGAATTGCAATCGATTTTAAAACAAAATCTTTTAATTAATTCAAATAACATSTAATTTACTTTATCAAAAGGATTGGCATCAGAGAGCTTTATTTCTTGAGTTGCACCAACAATAAAGTATGGTTTTGACTATGGGTATCCATCCCCGCCTTCGGTTCAAACATCCAATCCTTCGGTTCAAACATTCAATCCTTCAGTTCAAACATTCAATCCTTCGGTTCAAACATTCAATCCTTCGGTTCAAACATTCAATCCTTCGGTTCAAACATTCAATTTTGCTATTTAAACGGTCCCTTCTTCATTCAAGACCATTAAAACTCGCAGTCGTTCAGTTCGAACATTCAAATATGCAATATAAACAATCTAAAATCTACCAATTCGCATTCATTTGATGTTATTTATTTTTATTTGACTAGGAAAATGATACATTGGAGACCTGTCTTGACTGCAGAAATCTTTATTATTTGTATGAGCTGAGCACTCATCTAGAGACTTGCAGGTAAGTTAATGTTAATTGGTACTCTACTTCAGACAAGAACCACCTCCCTGTAAATCAATATACTTAGGATGTAAATACATGAGAATGTGTGGTGGTTAATGAGGATTTTATTGTTGGCATTTTTTTTAAAATAGGACGAAAGAGAAAGAAAGCAATACTGATGATGAAACAGATACATGTATGCCAGATGCACAAGAGCCATCAGAKGAACCCAATACTGAAGACCAATCCAATACGSCCGCACCTCTAGATCAACCCACAACAGCAGAACCTCTATGTCAACCCAATACCGTAGCACCTCTACGTCAACCCAATACAGCCACACCTCTAGATCAACCCAATACAGCCACACCTCTACGTCAACCCAATACAGC